TGGGTATTTAACCCATTGGATTATTAGGGAATGAAACTTTTTTTTTTTCAGTCTGAGCACTTCCTGCTGCTCCTGACTTACAAAGTTGGGCCCTAAAATATTAAATATTACTGGAACTGTCACCACAGAGAACTTGCTGCAGAGGAGACCTTGCTAACAAGTGTGTTTTCTTGGCTAACGTGGACAGAAATTTATTAATCCTAGTTGTTTTCCATGTTGTGGTAGGTACCCATACATTAAGAATACATTTACACAGTAAAATGCTGAGCTGTGCGCTCTTAGTACACTAGTTCCAGGAGCAGAAGCAATGTTGCAGCTTTAATGTAATACTGTCTGGATTCATTTACCCTTTTTCTCAAGACCTCCTGTGTACGGCAGTGTACTGTCAGATAAGTAATAATCTCTGTCCTGGAATGCTTACAGAATATATAGGGGAAAAAAGGTGGACAAAAGGAGGGAGAAGGGAAGTGCATTTCCATTGCCTGAGTAGAGTTCTAAAATGCAGATTTGCAAAGGATGATAGAGCATCTGTGTTTGGAGCTGAGAGATTGGGGTTCAGTTCCCACTTCTAACCAAAACATGTTATAGGCTATTGCCTGTGTATTTTAATAGGTCAGTTCTATACAGTAGGATTATTTTATTTTTAAGTGGTAATAAAAGAATCTGGTCCAGGAAATGTCCAATCATAGTTAGAGATAGGTCAAAATGGACAAAAAAATATTTTTCTGGTATGAAGAGCTGGAAATCAATTGGGAACTGAAAACCTTCAGCACCTTAGGAGGATGCCAGTCAAGTGTCCATCCTTCATTTTGACTAAAACAAAAATGTAAGATTTGTTTGTTATTTAAATATATGAAGACTAGAGAGGAGTGAAGGGAGAAAAGGATAATTGATTGGATTTATTTAACCATAAATCAGATTTCATTTGAAGCAAAAGAAAGATGTATTGATTCTAAAGCTCAAGGTAATAAAAACTCATGCTGCTGTCCCAGGACTAGAGGTTAGCCAATCATGCTGGTTTTATTATATTAATTCAACAATGAGGTATTGTTTTAAAGCAGCTTGCTCACAAGCCATTTTGATAGGAATCCAAAGCATGTTTCAGAAACTGTCAACAGCATTCCACAGAAACACAATGGACGTTTGTTTTGAAAATTCAGTCAGCCACTTTCAAACAGTACTAATCCCATTAATTTAAAACAGGAAGATGGAATATCTTGTATGTCAGAGATCCTTCTTGTCCATCTTAATTATGTAGAGAATAAAGCAGTTGTGATTTGAATGTGGCACATCATATTACTAGGCAGCATGCGGTGTATTACCCAACAGTTCATTCATGATCCCAATTGTTAGCATATCCTGTATCTATTTGACCTTAGCAGCCTGATAAGTTACCAAAAATTGAGTGTTGTCAGACAGTAAGTAAGTGCCTACCTATGAAAGAGTTTGAGGAACTTTCAAGCTGAAACAAATATATCCTTGAATAGGAATTGGAGTGCTGAGTCACATAGGTAATTTTCTTACACAAATGCAGTTGTAGTTTGCACAAAAACTGTAATGTGGAGAAAGGAAAACAGACATGCTCACAGCTTTAAAGACCACTTTAGAACCTTGATTATCGTCGTGCACAAAGCTGGAAGTAAAATGGGATACTGTTACAGGTGTTCTCTGCGAGTTTCTGTTCTTGCAGTGAATGCTCGAGATCACTTCTGATCATTAACGTGTTTGTTCGTTCCTCACTCACAAGGTTAATGTCTCCTAGCAAAGATGATGGATGATGATAAAAACAGAAAACCAATTGCATTATAAAGGAATGTATTCTCTACTAGATGCTTGACTTTTGTGAAGATGGCTCTTGTTTTTAATTTTGTGAAGCACAGCTGCAGTCATTTCTATGACGCTATGAAATATTCAGTTAAACTGGAGGTCGGAGAAGTGTGTTTACAAACTGTACTTCTTGAAGTAAATAAGGAAATACTAGAACGAAATAGCTCTTTATCTCTAAGTGTGGGGGCTTTTTTTGTTTTGTTATTTTCAAGTTACAGTTTTTAAAATAACTGATAGTCCAGGAATTTAATAAATTGTCCCATGTATGACATATGGTATTAGTTATCCAGAGATTTTGTGAATAAAAGAGAGCCTGGTGACTGGCTGAGCGGAACAGCTGTTCTAGACTGTTAATGCTTAGGATTACAGTGGACGAGAGGGAAGCTGAGACAAGAATGGAGCTGGTTATGTTTCTTCTTGGCACTGATCAGCCTTGCAGAGAAGCTTGACTGTCTGCCCACGTCATGATGTGGGTCGGGGCAGAGGAATACTACTACTAATAAATTCTGAGTCTGTAAGGATGGCAAACAGTTAATAGTATAAAAGGTGCATCCAAAAGCTGCTTCTGTGCTGCAGAAAGTTGTGGCAGGGATGGGAATTTTGACAGTGTTGTCAGCAGTACTGTGATACTCCTGGTAGTGTGTGTAGGAGTCTTTAGTGCTCTGTGCCCCATCTGTCTTTAAGACTGGATCAGCGAGAATTGCTTGTGGAGTCTCTGCCTCTGGTAAGGCCCCAGTAGTTTAGCTGAGGTGGTTTTAAAGTCAAGAGAAGCATTTTTTTCATGCAATTCCTTGATGTCAGCAAAACACTGCGGCACTGTGTATGTGTTAGCTTGACATTTTTTGCCAAGGATTAAGTAGTATTTCAATGGTGACTTCAATGTCCTTTTCCCTCTTTGCATGTCTGTTATGGGAAATGGTGTCTGTTATCTCTTCCCCTTTTGTTCTCTAGCTATGCTCCTTCCTGAAGCAGAACAGCAGAGATGTTAGTATTATTTTCTGTATCCAGTATTAATTTTCTCTTTCTGCAGAATTGACCAAAAAATGTCTGGAGGCCAGAGCGGGTATGAACTATGTGAGGCCAAAGCCATCCTGAGTGAACTGAAGGCCATCAGAAAGGCGATAAGTTCAGGGGAGAGAGAAAAACAAGATTTAATGAAGGTATTTTGAACAGTTGACATAAATTTGGTGTGAATTTGTTTTAACATGAGTAACTTTCCTGATTATAAATACTTGGCATTTTATACTTTTTAATGGATTCTCAAAACTCCTTGAGACAAATCTAGTATTAAAATCAATTTTCAGATGCAGAAACTGAAGCCTGTGACTTTCCTAATTCAAAAAGCTATTATATGTCAGTCAGAGAATATAGATTTCTGAACTTGCATATAAGGTACAATGCAGATGTTACCTCTAAGCCACAGTTTAAAATGTTAAGCAGACAAAATTGAGAGATGTGGTTTTGAGACGTTTTGTAACTCAGTGAAAGTTTTCCGAATCTAAATTGCCCTATTTCCTTTTCTGAACGCAGATATCAGCCAAGTATTTAACTGGTCAGCAAGTTAAAAACAAAACAAAACAAACAAAAAACCCCAGCCAAATCCAAAAGGTAGACAAAACCACATGGGTAGTTTTTATATTGTCACAGGTGTTGGTCAACCTTTGTGTCACCTACCAACAGCTTGGTTAAAAGGATAGTTTGCTTAATATGAAGTAAACCCAAAATTTTTATATTGGAGTCTTTTATGTAAACATCTTTTGGAGATAAACTGGTATAAACATGGTAAAGTGTAAAGGAACTTTCACACCACCTCCTTCTCTGTTTCCTGGACAGAGTCTTGCAAAGCTGAGAGAGAAATTCAGTCTTGACCAGACCATTGGGACATCTGAACCAGACTTGAGTTCCAGCTCTGTAAACTCCCAGCTGTGTTTTTCTAGACAAACTCTGGATACAGGGTCTCAGACTGACATTTCTGGTGAGGTGAGCTTTTTTCCATTTTGTCAAATGTAAAGAGAACTTGAATCAGAATGCTGCGGTTAACGGAATTGGAATCAAATCGTTGTTTACTGTTGCTGATAGGTGTACGTATATACATATTGAAGAGAGAATTACTTAGAATCAGTTACCTGGGGTTTTTCCCTTAAATTTTAAATCAAGATACAGATGAATTTTACATGTTTGGCATGAAGCATTTATGACAATTTGATTTAGAATCATAGAATCATAGAATGGTTTAGGTTGGAAAGGACCTTGAACATCATCGAGTTTCAACCTCCCTGCCATGGGCAGGGACACCTCCCACCAGCCCAGGTTGCCCAAGGCCACGTCCAGCCTGGCCTTTAACACCTCCAGGGATGGGGCCTCAACAACCTCTCTGGGCAACCTGGGACAGTGCCTTACCACCCTCAAAGTGAAAAACTTCTTCCTAATGTTTAATCTAAACCTGCCCTCTTCCAGCTTATAGCCATTCCCCCTCGTCATGTCACTACATGCCCCAGTAAAAAGTCCCTCCCCAGCTCTCCTGTAGGCCCCCTTTAGGTACTGGAAGGCCGCAATAAGATCTCCCCGGAGCCTTC